GACACGTAATACTGTTTGATATGTTTGTGCGTTTCACTTAATGACTGTAATTTCCTTAATTATTGTACTAATCCAATTGTTTTTACGTTCAGAAACAGATAAAGTTTAAAGTCAAGTTGTCCTTGTTCTAACTACAGCTTTCACATAGACTCTGTGCTCGCCAGTATCGCGTCTACGGTTCTAGTAGTATATCTGTAGGACAAATTAAATCCTATAAAGTTTCAACCAGTATATTCGATATACCCACTGAAATGACTGCCAATAAGTACTACAATTCCGATGAGATTTCAGAATTATCACCCCACCATCTGTGAGTTTATGATGAAGATTCGGACCTTGCTGTCGATTATACCATACGTAAGATATTATGTGTCATGTCTACTGACGACTTAATCCCTTCAAATTTCATTCTGTGAGCTAGTTTCGGTTGTCAGATTTTCCTTATCCTAATCCTGTGTTATTATTTATTATGATTGAGTGTTTCCTTTAGTAAATGCCTGACGTGGGTTCACTTCTTCTAGCTATTGCTCTTCCCAGATTTTCTAACACGTTTTACATACTGGACACTACATTAAACCCACAACACAAGGACATGTCCATGTGACTCCCCAAAAGTCGAATTCTGGGGCCATGGTAAGGTAACAAACATTCTTTCAGCCTCAACGTATTGCTTCTGTCTTTTTGGTGTGTGCTTCGGTATTATTATTAGTGGCTTTATTCAATAGTATATTTTGGTTAAGTCTGCAAATCGTCACTTGTAAACGACGATACGATGCACGTAACCAAGTCTAGATAGACAACGACCTGCTCTCCCGTCATCTGTGTATGTTGTGTTGCCCGACAGCACGTACTCTCGTGTGGTTAATACCATATTTGTGGATTACTGGTTTCTCATGAGTTGGAAGTGCCTCATTTGAAATGATCTATCATGCATATTAGGGACCTATTTAGTATATTTGAGGAAGTTCTACATACACAGTCTTCTCTAGCACTTCTTCCTCCATTGAGTTCGCGTTTTCTAACGACTGTTTCGTCGATTTCTACTATTCTCCTGATTCTTCCAAACAACTGATGCAAGCTTGTCATTTTCATCACACATATCTTGATAGTATTCATACCATTCAAATGCCGAGGCTTCAGTTACACCTGCAAAGATTGCAGCCAGTGTTACTGGTGTTTTATTGTAAAGTTTGCAACGATTATCATAATCTGTCTTGATATCAATCGCGATCGAGCAAATAGACGTCCCCATTGTAACAGACGTTCTCCTTGAACATATATCACATCGAGAAACAACATTGTCACGATAGTCCACACAATGTCAGGTAGTCATTTGATATATATATATATATATATATATATATATATATATATACCTCATGCTTCTGAAAAGGGTGACAAGAAGGAACAGTTTCGCTCAAGGTCAGGATATTTTGAGGGATCAGTACCAATTAGAAACCGTGCATCTGTTTGACGGAAATCCTTTGAGCCCCCTAGATTTATTGACCTGATTTTTATGAAAGGTTGATTAAATATAGCCTAAAAGTATGTGAGTGGATTGATTTGTGCATTATGGTGCCTCGCCTAAATCAGAGAATCAGAGAAGTGGAGTACAAGCTAGCTTGTAAGTAAGTCATCACTCAGCATACTGAAAGGCAAAACTCATAGTGTTTCTGCATCAACAGTTCATTTACATATTTTCGGATGCAATGTGATAAGGCTTCAACAAGTGATCTACATACAAGGTAATAAATGTTATACAATAACCTGTCAGTCAGTTAATTAAGTCCTATTCATTCAAATGTAGCATTTTTAAACTGAAGAGAAACATAACGCAGTTATATGGTTCGAAAGTATGAAGTATTAAACTTGTTGTAGCCGACTATATGGATATAAGATTCACTCAAATAAATCTGATCTTCAGAGTCAATAAGTGAATGTTCATATGCTCCTGTTACAGTTAACACACCAGTCTGACTCAATACGTGAATAATTTAAACAGATTAGCCAGCTTATACAACTCTGAATCTAAATGAACCCACTAGACTACAGGACATAGTGACTCCTTCCTATTTCTGTGTTTTTTATCGTAATTTTTCGGCCTTCATTTCACTTTATCTGCTCATCAAATATTTAAAAGCAGATTGGTCTGGAAGTTATAATCCTGGAGATTCTTTAGGGTTCCATAGACCTTTTTTGTGTAGGTTTCCGACGTTTCCCTTAACAAATGCATATCAGTGGTTGTTTGTGTCCACTGATGCAAGCAAAGTAATAGAATTGGATAAAATTCGACTTTACGCCAGTCAATCTACAGCAGCTCACATGCAATTGAGTTTGTTCACATTTAATCTGGTTAAGCCCTTTTTTAACTTATTCAACGAATAGAGTCATCAGTACAATAAAAAATTATCTATATTATTGTACCTTTGTTATTTTTAAACTTGTATGAATACGTATTCTTGAGCATTGCTTACCGCCTACGCATATATTCATTCTGCTAGCTTTATTATTAGCTGCTTAATTTATTCGATGATCCATTCATTTCACTATGTATATATATGTATATTTTAATCATGTTCATTGTCTCGTTGACTTGTGAACTCGCTCACATGCTCGCTCATTCGACTCGTACGCACTACTCTTTCATGCTTGCTTAGCGTACTTGTAAATTAGGATATCTGTGTGTAGTGCAATAATAAACGTAATAAACACTTCGTATTCGCCTTCTGATTAATACACCGTTGGTGCGTTATCTAGTGACGGTTATCAAGACGAACTGTATACGAAGTTTAAGGATTGTATTGAATAACGACCACCACAAATCCAACAATTCTCCAGCCTGGTCCACCGTAATCTGGTGTCCAGGTTATCCTGCTTAAGTTTTAACAAAACAACATGTGAAGTCAGACAAGCAGAACGAAGAATAACACAAGCACAACACAGTCAGCATTTTTGATGTGTCAACCCTACTCAATCCACAAAGAAATCCATGTTGGCTATAATTGACCTCGAGATTGTACTAACAAATCTCTGTTCGATTATTAGTCTTCGGTGTCTGAGCAATGTTGAGAATGAAAAATACTACTTTGTTAGTGTTCGGTATTATTTTACTGCCCATAAAGTAATATATCATGTCGCTTAATTGCTAGTCTGTGTTCGTGTGTACGTTGATAAACGGGGTTTCCACATGAACATAGGCTGGGAATAAAACGGAATGGTTAGTCACCACCCACATCAATCTACCAAGGCAACAAAGGACGTTAATTTGACGGGAAGCGCATAAAACTTCATTAAAGTCAAAATGTGATAAGTGCCACGATATCGGTTTATCACAAGGAAGTTACTTTACTCTGAGATTTAAAGGAGTTGATAAGTAATGACAAATTGTGTCGCCACACCACTAAGTAAAATGACAGAGAAATGTTATACACATGGTATGGTGAGTTCCGAAAGACCTGATTGTCTTCACCATAGTAATCTGTATATTATTCGTCTACAGATTTGACTATACAATGAGCTATTCAATGTCATTTCGGTCATTAAACTTGATAAACCCATACTTCAATAATTCTGTTTTGGTTCGGATTAATTTCTTTGGGTTACATATTTGACTTTGTGGTTGAGAAAGTACAAATATTTTTACCTATTTTGACCCGATGAATTGTAGATAAATTATGATGGTTGTATATACATGATTAACCTCTTTCACTCAGTTGACTGAAAAGAATAATTTAACATGGTATTTGAGAAGTCCATTAGGATCTCCAAGTTTTATGCAAATCTACCTTTCTCGATTCTTTAGAGGTTAAGTGCACACCTACATGTTTATTTGATATGCAGGTGTCTTTTCTCATATCAAATGTTGTAGGTACTTTAATTAACACTTTTTATGGTTGCTTTCACTACCTATAATGCAAATGTGATGGAACAGTCAGGCATCAAATGAAGGGCTCTATATTCGATTCTCAAGTTTCAAATTGAAACTCGACCTCATCTATTTCACTTTAGAAAACCAGATAATTTCATCAGTCTTTAGTCACAAAAAGTATAGCTGATAGTCGAACACACAAACCAGGCTTTCAGTAAGTAAGAAGAACGATTAATCAATCATATTGAGATGAACAATTAAACGCTGTTTTGTGGTTCATAGTTAGATGAAACATCTCAGTCTCATTTTGGCTCATCTAGAGAAGAGTAAATTTAAAGGCTGAATTAAAATGTTACTGAGGTGAAAATGATAATGAAAACTTTGAAATATTTTCTGTTATATAGTAGCTTCATGTCAAAAAGATACACATGTAAACTTGATGGGATTATAGCAATTTTAGGTATGTACCAGACTGGGTCGAAAAACTATACTTTATTACAAGTGATTTATGTTACATTTCTATGATTATTGAGATTACTCACATAACTTTGTTGTTTCTAAGCCTCGTTCATCTATTCATAAAAATATATTTAGTTATAACTATTGTGCTGCAACATTATTAATTATATCATCTCACGAAGAGTTTTTTATGGGAAGTATATTAACTCATAGTGATGATAAAGGGTCCCCAAAATATGCGCTTCGATATCTACGTCATTGTAGTTCTCTTCATCCATCATTAGACTGTCAATAAACTTATGTAATTTAGTGACTGGGACAGATACTATTTAATCCACATGTTTAATGTTTCCGGTTTATTATATAACTTAGTGAATGAGTAGATTTCGTTGACTTCAGTTCCGAATATCTAATCGATACTAAGTAATAAAATATAATGAACCTAGTATTGTCAAGACGACCCATTGAACTAGTCGCATTCTACAACTTCATTCTCATATCATGAGTTTTATAACAATTACACAGATAAGACAGTATAAATAACTCTTTATCTTTCATATCAAACATTATTGCAGTTAGTCCCAACGAGAGTATACTAGAAATATATTTAGTTATCAGAAATTCATTCAATAGAATATAGATAATTGATACTATATACATTTAAAAAGTGATTGAGATTTTTATGGTTAAGCAAAGTTTTCGATTTACAATAGAGACAATGACGGATATCGTATGTTTGTATTGATGTCTAATTTGTATGTATGCATGTATAAATCAGAGTGGTAACTGTAATGTCAATGAAAATACAGAAGACAACTGAAAAAGAATATGATAGATTGCACGATTTTGCCTAGTTATACTCCATTTCCGTGGCTTATTTACTAAAAACCATATATAATTGTTAAACTATTTGACACCTGGCTACTGGTAGGTGAGAGAAATAAGTTTCCCATTAGTTTCATTTTATGTTGTCATATTATTTAATTGGAAGCGTATTTCTAGTTGGTCCGGGGCAATGTCTATGATATAAGTGTAAATCATCCATTACACCATAACGACAAGGTGGTAAGATGTAAGAACCATTCAGTGGTAATGGAATTCTGTAAAACAAAGAAAATAGTGAATATCACAGCACATGAACAGCATAAACTTGATGTATTTTTTCTAGAAAGTTATGTAACTATGTTTCTGTTTAAAGAAATCAGACACCTTTATTATCATTATTGTTATTATTTTACAGGCTCCATATTAAAATTGTAAGTAGCATCACAAGACTATCGTCAAACCAAGTCATATTCTAACGTGACCTTGTTTGCTATTCAATGGTTAAACATCATTGACAAAAACACCCACGTCATCCGATTCTTTGTCAAGTTCTACAGAGTTTAATCAGTTTGTTTAGCATTTATGGAAGCATACATATGCTCAAATATATATAATTCACAACTAATCGTCAATTTGTACATAAAATGTTGAAGAAATGCTACTACTTCCTAGACCGGACAGTTAGCCATATGATTTCTACCAATACATTAAATAATTCCAAAATTGTAGTCAATATCACGTTTGTCAGATCTATAGCTCTGATTAAATTTTACAGACCAATCTGTAATTTTATCACCAGTTTGGGAGTGTTCTTTGTTTTAATTAAAGATGATCAGAGGAAATTGGTACGATGAGATCGGTCTAGTTTTCATGATAGTTGATTCTCACAAACAAGGAATATCTACAGTCTTAAAGAAATTGATTTACAACCATTACCACTAAGCTACTCGAGCCACATCCCATCTTTAAATACATGACATAATAGGCTATAGAACAATAATAAGGAGAGTTCACTTTAATTGATACATTCAAACTTATTGATGACTAAAAACAATTTACTGCAAAAGAATACTTACTCTTCAGCCGTGAATTGACGTTTCCCTTCCAACAATTCAAAACATCGTTTATCATTCGGTTGACATACACATGCACAATCTGAAAATGTGTGCATAATAAATTTCAGTGGAGCAATACATAGTCGATTACTGCAGCTATATTTTTTTATTATAATCCAATTGTAGGGCATATGAGAAAAATTTAAAAAATATTTGGAAGTTAATGAAGTTGATAAAGTAGATGTACTGTCCATTATATCATATAAAAAAATAGACTGTCAATAGAATGTTTAGCTTGATCTTAATATTAAATTAATAATCTTTCATCAAATTTCTGAATGGTTAATATTTTCTTATTGTAATAGAAGAAATAATCTGGCACCGAAGCGCTTATTGATAAGAGTTCCATTTGGTTCACAAATTCATGTATCCATGGAGCAAGGTTTTCTAAACTCTTAGTCTGCTTTTTAAATCAAAGACTGTTAGCTTGGAAAAGTAATATGAATAACTGTTATCTTCCCACTCATTTGCTATACCTAATAGGCATGTTTAAACGCCAAATAACTAAAAACATAGATGAAACCATCATATCGTTTTCATAATAACCTAACAGAAATAGAGATTCTGCATTTATTAGTTTTACACATCTCTTTTAACATACAGTTGTATTACGAAGTTACACATATCAAGATTTAATATAAACAAAATGTGATTTTGTTATTAAACACCAATTAATCTTTTTAATAACATGATAAACTATGCAACTGAATATTAGTAAGTAAAATCAAAGTTGGATATAAACTGATTCCAAAATGAGGATGCCTTCCTCTTTTCAAATTTGTTATATTTCTATAGTATTTGTACAAATTAATGATTCTTTTGTAGTGGATTGCCTGTTGATTACGAATTCTAAGTACAATACATTCATTTGTGTACGTCTAGTTCTACATACAGTAAATGACACTATTTCAGGAATTCCTAGTTGGTACAATAATTTGAATAATTCTAATCATTATAATTTCCTTTTATTTCAGTTTGCTCAGTTTATCTGACAAACAGGATCATAATTTAAGTTCATTAGTACTGTTTTATTCTAAACATAGTTCTGAACAGTTGATCTTAACCTTAAAAGTAATATTAACACATAATCGAAAATTTGTTTGTCGATATCAATAAACACTTTGAAATGATAGATATATTATGTAATTGTGATGATTATAAGCATTTGAATTATAGTACAAATTAAGAATCCCAGAAATAATGCAATTTAACCAAGAAGTATTAGATGGGCACGAACAAACGTATTGTATTTGGAATTCGAAATCAAGCAGTCAACACGTACAAAGGAATCATTAGTTCATACGAACACAACAGTAATTCAAAAATGAATTCATTTGGTGTTGTTAGATTATCCGAATTAAAAGATTTAATTATGAAGTTACTATTTGCCATTCTGTACGTTATCATTGATGTTTACTTCTAGTTGACGAACAATAAAACTTTCACAATAACATCGAATGAGCAAAAAATATTCTATGGATTCTCCACAACTGCTTACAACCGAAAACCCATCGTATCGACCATTAAAAATAAACAAGTATAAATACTTTATATTGGAGACGTCTAGAACAAATTGAGTCAATTATTTGGAAATAGAATAATATTCAGGAATAATAATACACAGGAATTTACATTGTTGTCAACATGTTGACTCAATTTATTCTAAATGTTTCCGATATAAAGGATGCACATTTGTTTATTTTTCATGATCAATACGATGTTTTTTAGGTTGTAAGTAGCCGTGGAGAATCCAGAGGATAATTGGATTCATATTGTTGTGTTACAATATTTGTTCCTTCTTCTTATTCAAGTTTATAAATGAAAAAAGTTTGTATCAAACAAACAGTAGATTCAGTAAATAATTAAAAGTATTTCAAGGCTATCTTGAACATAGACAACACTTCAACACAACATTATATTTATCAGTATTTTGTTATATAGTGGAATTATAGTTAAAATAGGTCCTGGGTTCGAACCCCGTGAGACGGAATCGTGGATGCTCACTGTTGAGGTGTCCCACAATATGACGAACTGGCTGTGCAGTGCTTCCAGGTTTTCCATGGTGGTCTAACTTCAATTGACTCATGATCTTAGCTATTAAATTGAAATGTAATAATGAAAAATAACACAAATCATTGGTTTACGTATTCTTTTACATCTTAACTGATGAATATGAAGTAGTGAACATATTTTTCTTTCACTAAATAAGTCAGTTGTAATTGTTGATTAGTAAAGGGAAAGTTTAGTTTGTAAATTCTAATAATTGTACACTTGTGACTTGTCATAAAACGAATCCTGGAGATTTATGTGGAAATCTACCTCTTAATGAATCAAATATAATTAAATCTAGTGATTAGTAGAATTCGTTATCCTTTCTCTTCAATAATTATTATCTTTTAATAATACTAATGAACAGTGGTTTCCACTCATGATTTACAAAAATTAGGCATCATGAATTACTATAATTAAAGTAAGTATTACTTATACACAGTGTGAATTATAAATTTTATCTAAGCTGCTTGTATAGATGATACAAAAGAACCCTTTAATAATTTTGGTTTAGTTTTCTTAATGAATAGGATCATCTTGAAATTGAGATAGATTGTATAATTGTATCAATATAAGTAACCGTAGAGTAAGCATCTTGAGTTTTTTGATCTCATATATACAACAGAACTTGCGATTTTTCGTTTTCCACTAAATATGTGACAAGCCCAACAGTATTTGAATAGACGGTATTGTGGAGATAGGTCTGACAAGTTTATTTTTTAAATAGTTTTTATTATTATTTGTATTTATTTTGTCAATTTCTCACTGCATGTACATTTATCATTAAATGATTGTACCTGTTGTTTTAGTAAGTGACCTTGAACACTTTTTCCGTCGTGATACTAACATAGAGCGACATACCGTTGCTGGTTAACAAATACACTGCTTCTCACACGTCCCTCGTTCTATTTTCGTTCGTGATTGAGTTAACTGAGATCTAAAACAAATATTATTTACATTCATAGACTGTGATTGCGAATACACCATACCTTACTTTAGATTACACCACTGGAGAGTTCATCGACACGTTTGGAATTACCAAGCATCTATAATTGTGGATTTATTGTACCAGACTAAAGCTGAACACGCATCATTTTGGGTGAACTTAAGTAAAGTCCCGTTTTTATTGTATTTGTAACATTTAACTGGTATATATTGATATTACTATTGATTTTTGTTAGCTTTGTTGATACTTTTTGCGTTTATATATCGTCTGGTCCACCACAGTATTAATCTATGTAAAAAGAAGATATAATTTCGAATTTGAAAACATGAACATTTATTTCCTAGAAAATTAGTTAAGCGAATAGATAGTAAAGAATTGAATACAATGATTCGAAAGTTCAGTAAAACCTAGAAAGTTCGACTGTGGTATATGCTACTTATCTTGACAGGTATTAGTAGTATGTAGCAGCAATCGAAAGTGAAATACCTACCATCAGAAGATTGAACTGTCGGCTAATTGGTGCCATGGAATAAACATTACTCAATATCACCAACGTTTAATTCTAAATCATTCAATTCTACAAAAATTCCTTAAATATCTCTTGAAACTAATTACAAATGGATCTACAACTATTATTGAGTTGATTACTTTGTAAAGGTTATCATATTATCTTTGGGGTGATCCAGAAGACTTCCCGCAAACGACAAGAAAGGCTCAGGAAACACTAAAAATTATTTCATCCAATCAGCGTACACTTGAAGTTTTGGCCAGGAACATCAAGAAAGTGAAAAGTCACATGTAGAGTTTTTGATTGGCTGATTATTATAGTGCTACTATGTTTAGTAGCGTTCCAGAATCTTCGGGAAACCCAAGGACATCTAAAATACTATAAAAACCCTATATTTTCTGTACTAAAACGAACCTCTGGAGTAAAGTGCTTCTCTCATATTTTGCGCCTTTTCTCTCGTGTTCAGGTCGCTGTTTAGTTCGTGCTTGGGGGTTATGAGAATAGCTTAGGAACCGAATATAGCGTTCAGTAAGCAAGACTTATCAATTATAGAGTTTATATAGTAGTAAATACAATAGTTCATAATCCTACATAAGCGGATAAGTTATTATTGTTTGTCTGTGTTTACAACCAGTGGGAGAACAGATAAAGATTGATGTGCACTTATGCTCTCAGTCAGACTCACGCATTCGTATTGCACTCACCAGTTCTGACGATTTGGAGGATGTTCTACTTGCTAGTGACCTGTCAAAACCTAGATATTTCTCACTCAGACAAAAATCTCATCTGAGATACCCAGAAAAAATTTGGTGAGACTATCCTTGAGTAAGGTAAATTATTCTTCACGATGCACAGAAAACGCATCACTTGATGATTCAATTAACGAAATGCCAGTCTTCGAAGATTAACGATATACCATGCGTCCTTTAGATACGTAGTGACCTACTTCTATCAAGATAACGCGATTGGTGTAGTGGAAACAATTATTATTTAGTCAGTCGTACCAGTTATTGTTTTACTGTACTTGTTTGTTTAACTGTACTAAAGACATTCTTTCTTCCGTTGATTGTGACCTTGCACGAATGTGGTTACGCGCAGTAATCACATTTGTAGCCTGGCACGACCTCGGTATTCTTTCGATACCACGAGATCGCCAACAAATACTTCTCGACTACAGCCATCAACTGCCTTCTGATATTTGGCTTACGAGGGATTTTATCGGTTAACTGGCACGTAGTTTTCCTGTAGTGGTGATCATAGTCAACTGCGACTCGACGCCACACTACAGATATACGTTATAACAATCATAAACTTACTAAACAGTTGTATTGCATAAATATTTCACATCGCCACATTTCCGACAAACGAATGCCACGTTTGAACCTGACGTTAGGCCGAGTTTATGTGTTGTGTTAAAATTATGTAAAATAAACTGGTCACCGAAATCTTGTCAGATGTTCACTCTTTCGCCCGGCTGTCTGCATGTGCTTATATTAGTCTTCTGCTGACTACTCTAGCACATCTCATATCACTCAGAAAATGAAAGAATTTATGTGCAGACACGTTTCCATACAAATCCGACTCCCATTTTCTTCAAGTACGAAGCACATAGTCACAATTAATTTGAAATTTCAGATAGTTAGAACACTCATCTGTCAAATATTATCTCCTCGAATTCGCAGATGACATAC